ATATATATATATATATATATATATATATATATATATATATATATATATATATATATTAGCAATCATGTATTAAGAGTCCAGGCTAAGTGGCTCACATCACAGTTATAATCCCAGCCCTTGGGAGCTGAGGTTAGAGAATTGTTATGAGCTCAATCTCAGTCTAGTCTGCAGAGTATATCAAAGCCAGCATGAGCTACAACGTGAAAGAAACAAAATCTCAAATAAGACCCAAAGGAAATTAAAATTAAACTAAAAATAAAAAGCAACAAAAGAATATCCGTCCTGAACTCCAAAATCCCAGTGGCAGCACATACAGGTGCCTCCTTGTTCTGGATGAGAACCCTGAAAACCCAGCATGCCATTGGCCCCCATTTCAATTACAGAGAACAAGGAGAGTCCATTCTCTTTAAAGATTGTTCCTAAGATTGGACTGAGATTTGCAGACCAATCTAGTCTTTTCTGAAAGTGAAACTCATGTATCCAACATCGCAATCAGCATTTCGACTTGGAAAAAAACAGTATATGTCCAAGATCAGTCTCTATATGTTCATTCTCCAAACCTCTCTACTTGAAGACATTTCAGTCTTTATCAGTGATAACCATTCTTTCATTTCTTTAATCTCCAAATCCTAGAACCAAGATCTATTCGTTTTTTCTGCACTATTTAGTTAAATGTTTTCTTAAATTGGTTTCTTTATCCTTTGGCAGAGCCTGTGCTGTCTTTAATTTTTTAACAGAGTTTAATCACTCTCTAACAAAACTTTATGATGAACCATAATTCAATCTTTTACCAATGTGAAACATGAGGAAGAGAAGGGACGGGGAGGGAAGGGCAGGGGAGGGGAGGAAAAGGGAGGAAGAGTAGGGGAAAGAAAAGAAAGGGAAGGGGAGAAAGAGGGAGGGAAGGGAAAGAAAAGGGAAGGGAAAAGAGGATGAAAAAGTAAGGAAGAAGATAGAGAAGGTGGGAGACAATGAGAAACATTGAAGGAAGAGAAGAAAGGAGGGAGCAAGCAAAGACAAAATGGAGGGCAGGGAGAGCGTTCATGGAGAGACGGAAGTGCAGGATCCAAGCATCACACTATCTCCTCTCATTCATTCTGTGCATCTGAAAACCTCTTCATCACCACACAGCAGCCATGGCAACCAGGATGATGCCAATACTCTGCCCAAGGAATTTCCCTGGACTCAGAGTAAGGTCTTATAACTTGACCAAAGTTCCAAACCTATACACAGGTATCTAGACTCTTCCTGCTTACTACCCATACCTGATGTACTGCCTTGAAGCCACCATGCTCTTTTCTCTCATCTTTGAACTTACCAATTATGCCTCATGTCATAATCTCTGCACACTCCTGCTAGTGGGAAAATTTCTCCTGCTAGATAATATATTTTTTTCTTGCTCTTTGAATAAATACCACCCATGAAGAAAAATCTACCCTTTACAAGAGATATAAAATGGTGCAATGGCCTTCAGGATTTTAAACTTCAGCTTGTTTTATTTTTCTTCACAGCATCATACCTCCTGGCACTTAAGTATACATATAAATAGTTACTGTTATCAATATTTATTAGTGTCCATCTCCTTGAGGGCATACTCATTGACATGGTTTTATTGCTAATTCCCATGACAGTGTCTATCACAGAATGAAGTAATAAAGTTGTATTGACTAAAGAGTCACACAATATACAATCAAATAAGCAAAGATGGTTATTCCAGGTAATGAAAAATGCCATGAAGTGAATGAAAGAGGAGAGTAGATGGTCCATGGAAGAGGCAGTGTCTAATG